ATCTAATTATATCTATGATTTATATTATATATAATTATAACAATAATAACGGTAACCTGTTATGCTGCTATTACATTATGTCTTAAAAGTTAAGAGCTTAGATTTTGGCATCAAATTGTCTGGATTCAAGTAAAACTTTGCCACTTAGATTAGCTAAGTAACTTGGGCAAATTATTCACCCAGTTTTCCACCCTTGAAATTGGGATAACAGTATCTACTTCTTTGGAAAAAGACACTGTGAGTCAAGACTGATTCGATGGCACCTAAAAACAACCTCACTGAGGTATTTCGAAGACTGAATAGCATACAATATAAAGCATATAGAGCAGTATTTGATCCAGATAAACCTGTAGTAATGTTCTGTGTAATAATTGAGACCTTTCTATACGCCAGGTACTGTGCAAAGTCCTTTATTTACATTATCTCACAGAATCATAAAACAATTTTATGAGATTGATTGAATTTTTATCCATAATAATAAATTCAATCAGTTTGAGTGATATAATCTGTAGGTAGTTGCTATATTAACCCAAAGGTGGTGGAACCCTGGCAGTTCAATTACACCAACTGTTGTCAAGGAGAAAGATAGGCAATCTCCTCCAGTGCAATTTAAAGCCTCTGGAAAACTGCTGGAGGATCAGTTATGGGTCAATTCTGACTTGATAGGAAATGAGTTGAGCTTTGAGTTTTGTCTTTGTAAAAAGTGTAGGCATTATGGAGATGGCTCTTTCTGATTTCTACTAACTCCACAAAGGGGAACTGTCCCCATCAACAACATCAACTATACAAAACAGACATGGTCTCCCATGCTTCTGCACCTACTTCTACTAATTACAGCACCAAGCTTACTGCTCCACTGGGTTTGAAATCCATTGCAATGACCATGTATATCTCACGGAACCATACTCATGATTATGGAGTTCATTACTGAATTAATTTGTTGCAATTCAGGTTGGCAACAGAATACAATTCCTCAATATAGATAACTTCTCAAGTGTGCTCACAGACCTTCTGACCTTTAGCTTCATGATTTAGTCAGCATTACAAAGTTCCCTTAGTCTCATCCATTATGGCATCTTCCAGCAAGCTTGGTGAAGGTACCTGCCTCTGGTTCCACAAGGCAACAGTTCCAAGTCAGATTTAACTCATGTCAGCTTCTGGTTCTTTGCTGATATTGCTACTGTTCTTGTGTAGATTGAGGTCTGACCAATGTAGGAATCTCTGCCCCCAAAGGATGGGCAGTGTACTCCCTGCTTCCTATTCCTTGCTGACAGTGAGATTTCCACCTTCACTGCTAAATCTCAATTAAATTTGGTTGGATAGGAATAACTGACCAATCTCACAATGATTATACACACTCTATTTTAAGTACCCTCACATTTATATGGTGAAATCCAAGTCAAAAGTTAGGAAAGCCATTTTGAAGAATAAACCCTTGACACTACAGTTTTATTTTCCAGAGGAGGAAATTGATACTTGACTAAGGTGAGCATCTTGCTTAAAGCTCACATAGTCATGCACTCACAGAGCCCTTTTCTCCAAAAGACAAATCTTCAGCAGTAGTTCATGGGCTAAATGAATCTGAGGCTTCTTATCTGATTACTAGTGTTGAGCTTCTAGAAACCAAGCTTAAGACTGCATTGTTAAATGTCAACTCTGTTAAACATATCATTCATGTGGACAATAAGACTATCAATAAAGCTGAGTACCCTGAAGGATTTGAGATTCACAGCATGCAATCGGTAGAAGAGTTGGGCTCCAAGCCAGAAAATGCAAGCAACACTCCAAATAGACCAACTCCTTCAGACTTGGCTATCGTAATGTATACCAGTGGTTCTACCAGTCTACCAAAGGGCGTAATGATACATCATTGCAACCTGATAGCCGGAATGACAGGCCAGTGTGAAAGAATACCTGGATTGGGACCAAAGGACGCTTACATTGGCTACTTGCCCCTGGCCCATATACTGGAATTGACAGCAGAGTTATCTTGCTTCACCTATGGCTGTAGGATTGGATATTCTTCTCCACTTACACTTTCAGACCAGTCCAGCAAAATTAAAAAAGGAACCAAAGGAGATTGCACTGTCCTGAAGCCAACACTCATGGCTGCTGTTCCAGAAATCATGGATCGAATTTATAAGAATGTTATGAGCAAAGTCCAAGAGATGAACTATATTCAGAGAACTCTATTCAAGATAGGATATGCTTACAAAATAGAGCAGATTAAAAAAGGATATGATGCACCTCTTTGCAATCTGATACTGTTTAAGAAGGTGAAGGCTCTGCTAGGAGGGAACATTCGTCTGATGCTGTCTGGCGGTGCAACCCTGTCTGCTCAGACTCAACGTTTCATGAATGTCTGCTTCTGCTGCCCAGTTGGCCAGGGCTACGGGTTAACTGAGACAT